TGTTGTCTACATTAGCTTGCAGCTTAGGATATGGACTTCAAGTCTAGCCCATGAATTACAATAGAAATACTCTTCCTAGATCTAGATGCTTTTTTATTCCATTGACAATTTTGGAAAGAATAATGATATATGGGACAAAGCATTGAAATGAAATAACGAAACGAATCTAAGTTAGCATGATACATCAACAAAAGATTAAAAGTTGAGTCCCATGTCATCATATGAGATTTGAAATGGAGTGAGATTTGAGATGAGTATGAGAGAAAGAAAGTGATGGGAAAAACAAGAGATTTGCAAGAGGAAAACGGATGATGCCAGGAATAAGGAACTTGGAAGAAGATGATGATGTGGGATCTAATTTTTAATATTTTGTTGAAGTGTCATGCCAACTCAAATTTATCTCATTATTTTGTTTCATTACTTCATCCCGTGTATTATTATTCTTTTGGGAACTATAAGTGACGTGGAATCCATCTGTAAAGTCGGCCATCCTCTGCATTGTCTAATGCAAATTACAACGTCTGAAAAACCAGGAGAACACCATCTTTTGCTTTTTCATCACCATATGATGACTGTATTTGACTATCCCCATTTCCATAAAAGCAGGAATATGTGTTTCATCAATCAGTGCTGTTTGTGACACTAAAAATCCACTAACATCTCTGTCCACTGTTTTTCTTCTTGGTTAAATGTTAATTATGGTCCCTCACTTTAAGGTTTTGTCTAATTTTTGTCTCTTAATTTTTTATGCACATTTTGGTCCCTTAATAAAAAATACAATCCTTTTGCCAATTAATCAATTAATTAATTTGTTAAATTTATTTAAATATACATATTTTAGTTTCTCAACTTAGAATATATACACATTTTTAGTCTCTTAATTTTAAATTAAGGGGTTAAAAATATGCATATTTAGGTAGATTTAACAAATTAATTGATAGAATGATTAAAAAATATATTTTTTTTATAGTTAAAGATTAAAAATGTGTAAAAAAAATTAAGAGACTAAAATTATATAAAATCTTAAAGTTGAGGGATGAAAATTGACATTTAATCTTTTTTATTTCCAAATATTCCCTCCTAGCTACCTAGGTTGCTTGCTAGTTTTAATGGTGTCCTCCCCTCAATGAATTGAAAGATCAGCTGATTTGGGTCTTCAGGTACATAAAATTTAATCCGCAAATGGAAGTCGAGAAAAGACAGTTTAGCAACCCACCCACTGCAGTTTTGCCATAGGAATTCTTCTTCTGCTTCATAACTACCTCATAGAATATGCACATTAAAATTCTCTCACAGACACTTACTTGTCCTAATTCTTCTATATTGATGATGGATCTCCACTCTATCGAACCAAAAAAAAATGCTTTCATAACGACATTTAAATTGAACTAAAAAATTTATAAAAAAAAAAAATTGGTAATAATTTTAACAAACAACAAAGTAAATAGAGAGTAAATTATTTATCACCTAATTTAGTTTCTTACGTTTTTCATATGAAGTGGATTAAAAAAAAAAAAGTTTCAATAGATAAACATTAAAGATGAAGGAGAATAATGTTGTATTGTGATTGTTTTTGCATAATTTGTGAATAAGAACAAACATATCATAATCCCAAATATAATTCGGACAATGTGACCTAACAGATTACCTATACCCAACTCCATTTTTATCACCAACATGTCATGCTCCACCTTATTATCTATGCATTTAACCTTGTTTCCTGTCATCTGTCATTGTCGAACCAACATGTTTGTTAAGAGCATCTAAAATGGAACATTAACAAAACACATAATTAATAATCCCTAACCCATACTAGCTCTTCACTATGACTTATATATATATATATATATTTCAATATATTAGACAGTGAAATAAAGAGGGTTGTGATTATTACGTCTACAAAATTAAGAGGATACTTGGATCTTTAGCCCACCAATCCATATTCACGAGCATATCAAATAAAATTTCACCCAGGGACAATAGATGTTTTTAGTTGATATTA